TTTAAAGACTAAATTCGCAGTAAAGTGTATAATGTAAATATTTTGGCGAAAATTATTAGCTTTTCTATTTATATAACCACTATATGAATTTCTATTTCTTAATTTTTTAAAATTCCACCAATTTAGAGAGGTGATATAAATAGAAAAGCTAATAATTTTCGCGAAAATAGCTACACTATATATATCGTGGCGCACATCAAGAAAAAATCTGAAAAAATGTATGACAATACACGGTACCCTGGAACCAATCTCAACCCTCAACATTCTCCCTTTCAAAGATTCCTGTTGCAACTTGTTCGGGGTACCTCACTGAATATTTTCTGACAAGAAAAATCAAATTCCGTCGGGCGCTTTTTTTAATTTCAATTTTTGTGTTTTAGCGCCAAATTTAAAAAAAACTGGTTTTAATGATCATTTAAAAAAAATTCAACTTCAACTGGTCAAATTTTGTTCCAGAAATTGTACAAAACCATAATTCTGGTAGAAAATTTTCCGTATAATCGGAATCTGACGTTGGTTTTTGAAATTAAAGCAGCGGTATCCCAGAAAATCCGGAAAACTGTAAATATTATAAAAAAAATCTCACCGTCGTTTTTTTCAAATTGTCTGTCAAATTTTATAAAAATAAGTGCAATTTCAAAATTTATTAAAATTTACCAATAAGTAACAGTTACGTTTTCAAATTTGCAAAACAAAATATTATAAAATGAACATCTTTTTGTCAGTAATTAAAATTTTGAATTTAAAAGTTAAGAAAATCTAGGGTCTGTTTACAACGTTTCTACCGAGGTTTCTACTGATTTTAAATTTTCTGATTTAAATTTTCTTTCAGTTATTAAATGAGAGAAAAGAAAATTATGCAGAGCAACTCCTAACATCTGTGTGTTACTACAACAGTAATCACATGTAATCGTTTAATCTTGATATTTTTAAATGATGATATTATTATTAAAACTATAATTTAAATAGAGTAGCATTGACAGAAGTGGGCCACCCGCCGTTCTTGGTTTTACAAGTGACATATCTGTCAACCGAAAATTTTTTCTTTTGTTATCAACAGAAGGTCAACTTTCAGTTGGTTATTAAAGAGTGCGACGTACAATTGTGTTCTCCAGCAATTAGTGCCAAAAATTATCTACTTTTTCTTTTTTCTCAATGTAAAAGTTATCGTTGTTTACATAAGATATTCATCGAATTCAATCGGGCAAGTAGCCTTTATTATAGTTTCAGACCTAACCTTAAAAAATTTAAAGAGACTGTTTCATAATGTCGCGAGGTATTATGGTCACGTTGTTTCTCCTCAAATTCATCTTGTGGACAGAAGTGGGCAAGTGCATTAAAGTTCCGTTTTGACATTTAGTGATTTTGTATAAACTAATGAAGTGGTTCTATGAATTATTTTGAATTTTTAGCAATCATGTCACCAAGAAAGGCTAAACCAACTGGCTATGAACTCATTGACTACGGCAAATTACTTTATGCTATGAGTCAAATAAAAATTAATAAAATTTCTGAACGCCCTTCTTGTGCTTAATTTTACAATACTATTTATTGAAAAAATTAATCATTTAACATAAACAATCATAGTGCTTGATCCTTTTTCTTATTTTAGATGGAAAACTTAGGAGGCCCACTTCTGTCTACAAAATCATGATATCGCAAATTTCTCTTTTTTTGCATAACGATGTTAAACAATATGTTAAAATTAAGAATTTTAAAATGTGAGTTTGCCTAAAGTTAGGTAAGTCCTTTTTGTTCAAATAAACGTAAAATGGGTTTAAAAATGTTAATTTCTGAATATTCTAAAGCATCAATACCAAAGTGTGGCCCACTTCTGTCGGCACTACTACTCTACTACTCGGCACTCTACTAATTTCGGAAATTGTGAAACTGTTTATTATTAAAAGTTGTAATAAAAATCGAATAACAGAATTTTCACTATTTATATATTTAATAACTAAAAGAAAATTTAAATCAGAAAATTTAAAATCAGTAGGAACGTTGTAAACAGACTCTAGATTTTCTCAACTTTTAAATTCCGATTATACGGAAAATTTTCTACCAGAATTATGCTTTTGTATAATTTCTTGAACAAAATTTGACCAGTTGAAGTTGAATTTTTCTTTAAATGATCATAAAAACCAGTCTTTTTTAAATTTGGCGCTAAAAACACAAAAATTGAAATTAAAAAAAAGCGCCCGACGGATTTTGATTTTTCTTGTCAGAAAATATTCAGTGAGGTTCCCCGAATTAGTTGCAACAGAAATCTTTGAAAGGGAGAATGTTAAAGGTTGAGATTGGTTCCAGGGTACCGTGTAATAGGTTTTAGTGCCCTCTAAAAAATGATGAAAAAATTTTTTGTGCCCAACTCTAAAAAGTTAGAAAAAAATTATTTTTATTCTTTTGGAATATTTTTAAAAAGAAAAACAGAGTGTGGGGAGTCCAAAAAACATAGGTTCAAAGTACATCCCAGTAAAAATTTCATACGATTGCGAAATTTGTCGCCCGAGCCGAAGGCGAAGGCAACAATCGCACTCGTATGAAAAAGACATCTGTCACGTGACGCAACAATCGCACTCGTATGAAAAAGACATCTGTCACGTGACGCACACTATTTTTTTCACCACAAATGTAGGAATTTTGCGATAAAAGGAAAAGCCTCACAGATATATTTTTTTACATAGTAGTGTATCGATATTGTTCTTCAACCCTTTCGGGTTTTTATATATCATAACCCATTGTATATTTTCCAAATTTCCCAGACTCCCGAATTCCCCCTTATTTGCGGTCCGTAGCCGCCTTTTATTAGAAGTACTCGTATTCACCTGGCCCTCTCTATCCGACCAGTATGAAAATATCGATTTCTGACCCGCCTCGCATGCATGAAAAATAGCAACATTCATGCCTGTGTGGTAAAAAATAATTATTAGACAAGCGAAAAGGCTACTGGTTTTTCAATTAGCCTTTGTTATAGGTCCAATTATCCTGAAAATTTTCTGGGCTTTAGGGACTTTACTATATACTTGAATTTTTCTTATTTTCCTCTTATTGTAGGAATTTTCATACTTTTTTAATGTGCATTTATCTATTTCTTTTTGTTCATAACACTACTGAAGCAAAATTCTTTTTTTTAAAGCCCAGAACAATTTATGTTGATTTGAATTATTTATATGCTTTTGTAAATAATAATTAAATTCCAATTATTTAATAATTTAGGATATTCTGTCATGAATTTCAAAATGAATTCAGTGAGTTCTCGCGAGTCGTTCAACAGGTGATCAGTGTAAGCTTTACGAGTCGTTAAATTTCTAGTATGCGCGCCAGTGTTAAGTGCTGTACAATTTAAGCAAACCAAAGTCATGGAAGATTTTCTTTCTTTTGGGGCGATAAATATGCTTCACACATACCTGAAATCGACCTGAAGGCGTGGTTTATGTGTTGAATGTAGGGGAGAGTTTCCAGTTGTGAGACGGGTTTTATTTTTGACCCGTAAATTGTAAACGGGTAAACGAAATTGTAAATAAAATACACCTTTCGAAAGGTAACAGAAATACGCAACTTTTATTAAAAGAAAGTGTAGTGTTTCGATGAACTTAAAAAATTTTACGATACATTTTCCGAGCACATCGCTTTTGTCAACAAAAAAAAATGTCTCCAGTTGTGAGACACTTATTAAAAATTGCTAAAATTTAATAAGTTTGACATAAAACGTTATGTTTAGTAGAAATAATTAAATATATTAATAATATATATTATTATATACTAAATAATAATATTTATTCGCCAAAATATGACTATCAAATAAACACAATTTAATAGCTTCAACAAGAGCATTAAAATTGATTTCTTCTGAATCAATTGACTTTTTTCCACTTAACATGCCCAAAAATACTAGGAAAAAAACAAAACAACATTTAAATAGTATGCCTGCAAAGTCGTATTTTTTATGCTGTCCAGATGGGTGTTGACACCGTCTCACAACTGGTGATATGCTGTGTCTCACACCCAGAAATTGGCGCTATTTTGAAAAAGAAAAATTAAATTATTTTCAACCTTAGATTGGAACAATGCAATATTGTATCACAAAATATAAGGAAAACACTAAAAGAACACTGCAAAAAATGGCGTCTAAAAATAAGACGTTTAGACGTTTATAAACGTCTTATGTAAATAAGCGTCTTATTTGAGCGTCTTAAATGAAAAACATAACCTCTAAATACATGCATTTTAGAAGGCAAATAAGACGCTTATAAACGTCTAAAATGTGACCACGTAAACGTCTTAAACCAAGACGCTCTTTTTTTACAGTGAAAATGCATTACATTTACCTTTTCCAATTAATTAACTTGGAAAAAAAGTACTTTGCATTTATTGAAAAAACGCTTTTTAGTCGATTATCACACAAAGTGTTGGTATTTTACAAAAACAGTTTATATAACTGCTTCGGCGTACACGAAAAAGTTGGCTCATATAAAAAGAAATGTTTTTTTATAAACCAATCGGCTTTTTAATATTGCATGTTAAAAAAATTGACTGTCTCACAACTGGAGGTGTCCCACAACTGGAGACTCTCCCCTACTTATTTAAGCCCAAATTTTATTTATTTGTCAAATAAGTCTATAGTCACTACACACAATTTCATGTCAGGCGTTCACGTATGCACACTAAATTTAACAATGCTACATGTCAGTTGTGTAATCGTTTTTTATTCGAACCCCACTGAGGACAAAACAAAAATTTGGAAGCAAAGTACAGTATAGTATGTGACATATTATAGATGACTTTTGTAATTTAAGCAGATCTATTTTGAAAAATAGTAGAACTTCTCTGCAGCTGTAACAAAAGTGATCTAAAGTGGTTGTTTCATCCTATCAGTACAGAAAAGTTTCGTAATCGCTACAGATAAAATTTTCTCCATGTAAATATAAGGCTGGACATATCAACATCATTAACTAATTTAAAACACATATGTAATCATTTTTACCATATAGAATACTAACCTGAAAATAGAGACTGTATGCACAAGTTGAAAAGAAAGTTTGTAAAGCAATCAGAACAGCGATTTGCGAATCTGCTTCTGAAAATTCCAGAGTCTCTAAAAGCCATCGTTTGCACATCAGCAATGTTTGATCTTGAAATGTAACACCTTGTTTCATTAAAGATGTCAAGTATTCAGAGGTAGGTTTAACCAAGTCCGCATCAGTAGGTTGTACAGAAGTACATAATTGGTTAACCAAAAGCTTTACTGACTGGAACAGAAAAATTAAGTTTAAAAATCATTCGGATCCCTTTGAAAATTTTTTCTAGGTGGTTTATGAGGGCGCTGATTACCAATATATTTTCTTTTTGGAAACAAATAAAATTTTAAAAGATTGTTTACCATTAAGAAAATTTATGTTGCACGGAAAGAAATGTACTAGTTGTGGCATCCATATGAACATTGTTGCATTATCCAATGAAATGGAAAGGACAACTCTTAGCATGAAAGCAGTTTCCAAATACTATGGATGCATAATATATTGTCGCATGTGGTATGGATGTGCCAACCACATTTATATTTGTGCTTACCAATACAGATATAGATTATCACATATGGTTGCCTCTTCCATATTACTATGATTCGGAGATTCATATTCAATTCAAAATGGATACATGTTGCGCGCAAGTCATTTTCACGTCATCCATTTAAAAATGGACGTTTTAATTTGTCTGTCGCGTCTATATAATGCGTTCTGAGTTTATTGTATGTAAATAGTTTTATAATTGTTTATTATTGTTATTGTCTATTAGTATTTATGTTAATTTATTTCCACACAGAAAAAATAAATTTAGCAGATCTTACAAAACTGTTACGGAGTAGCGGATACAGCTTATTACGAAACTGAGTTTTGTAAAATGTAAGGAATATTTCAGGATAAACTTTAGAAATATGAATATTTTACACGGAAAAAAAGTACGTGAAATTTTCATTAACTCAGTAACTTTTGGATACGACACAAAATTTTACTAAAAACAGTCTAGTAATTTTGCATGAGAGTTTCAAAAGCAGTCAATGAAAATTTCTAGCACCTGCCTTGAGAATTTCATTGACTTTTGAAAAAATTGTATATTTCTGTAAAATGAAAATAGTATATTTCAATACAAGTGGCCAAGAGAGCGTTCCACGAGCAATTAGCAATTCGCTCTCGCGTCCTCGAGTATCGAACGCTATTTTTCTTTATAAATACATGCAAAATCCGAGAAATTCTGACAATTTAACCGATATACTATCCGAAACGCAGAAGCTTTGGGTTGCGCGAGAGGGTCCAGGGGCAGCCCCCCGATCACAAAAAAACCAACTTAAAAGGTTAGGTTTTACGATATTTATTTTATTACTTTTAATCATTTTACATATGAGGCATTATTCCTGAACTAGAAGGTATTAGTTACTACACCAATTTACAGGTTCAACCCCCCACCCCTATCAAAAGGGTGAGGGGATTAAATTTCAGCTTCAACTCGAACATGCGTTTTTTGAACATTTGTAGTTTCTACTTAAATTATTCGATTAAAAAAAGTAAGTAGTGGTTTAGAAAAGTTTTTTTGTGTACTTTTGAAATATTAAAAGTTTTTAAATAAATAGTTTTTTGCAAGTTCGACAGTTTTTATTTTCTTTTCAATAATCTCAAATGAAAGCTTGGAATTTCCCCTAAAAGAGGATATAAGTCTGAAAATAGGCCAAAAAAATTTGCCAAAGATATAGTGTAATAAGTAAAATTTGTGGTATTTTTTTACAATTTACTATTGAAAATGGTCTAGAACCTACAAATTTTATCGGATGTTGATGTTCTTGGTCTAAAATTACTAAGAGATCCATCAAAGCCTTCATTTTTACACTAATTTTAAGAGAGTTAAATTTAAAAACGATCCGATAAGTTTTTCAAAAGTTATCATGGGAACAACATTTTGTGTCTACTGTTACGTCACCGTAACCTATTTTCAATAATGTTAATAATAATATGTAAAATAATAATAAATAATAATTATAATAATTAATAATAATAATCATAATAATTAATAATAATAATTACAATAATTAATAATAACAATCATAATAATTAATAATAATAGTAATAATAGTAATCATAATTATTTAACATATTATTATAATAAATAAATATAACAAATAATAAACGACAATAAATTATAACAAATAACAATAATAAACCACAATAAATTGTAAGAATAAACATTAGAAATAATAACAAATTATAATAAACAGATAGTTATAACAATTTTAAACAACAACTTTTAACAAATAATAATAAACAATAATAAACATAAAAATTGTAATAATAAATATTAACAGTAATAATAGAATTATAATAACTAGGAATTAATACCGACTTTAATTGTAAACAATTATAATCAACAAATAATACAACAAATTATAAATAATGAATTGTAATAAACAATCAACTGTAACAACAAATTATAAACAATTAATGGAAATAACAAAATTATAAAATAACATGAGTAATAAGCAATGGACACGTGCGATCTAATGGTGAGTCACCACAAGTGTTCCTGCAATAAAGGGTTTCTCCAAATGCATGGAAAAGCGAACGATTCTCCAAATGCATGGCAAAGCGAACGATTCTTCAAATACATGGCAAAACGTACAGTTTCTTCAAATACACAGGGAAATTTGGGTATAAGAAGAGCCAGACCATCAACAGCAGCTCAGTCTAAGAAAGCAGTCCAGAAAAGCAGTCAAGAAAATGTAGTCGTCAATATTATAAGTCTCAAATTGAGAAGTGGTGCTATGCACAAGTCAGTCTTAAAATTTTATCTATAACAAGTGGTTCTTCACGACGCAGTGCTCTAAACCCAGTTTCAGTAGTTGTCCTTTACTCTACGTATATTTCAAAAGTGCATTTTGGAAAGTCAATCTGGAAGTCAAATTTGCCATTTGAAAAGAGTGTTCCTGTTTCTCGAGACACAATACTGCATCCACTTAGTCAACTATTAACGGACTAGTGCCATTATACCTGAGCGACTAGCATCACCCTTTGTCCCAAGGTAAACAATCAAACCACTCTAAGACTCACATTAGAAAGCCTATGTCCATCTCTTATTTTCATCAATTTTATCTTATTTCATAAAATACACATATATTTGTTCAACTAAAGTAATTTCTTGTTATTCACTACCCCGTCCCTATTTTAATTAATTTTAAAATAAAATCGGGAAACATTAGGAAAATTATAATAATTAGGATCGTAACATATCGTAATTATTTTTGGTGCATCGGCCGTCGTGAATTGGTAAATGCAGGAATAGTTTAGTTTGAATAAATATAGTAATTATTTTTGGTAAATAAGCCGTCGTGAATTGGTAATTGCAAGAGTAGTTTAGTTTGAATAAATATTTAATAATTATTTTTGGTGCATCGGCCGTCGTTAACTGGTAAATTCAAGAATCATTTAGTTTGAATAAATATCTTAATTATTTTTGATGCATTAGCCGTCGTGAATTGAAAATTAAAGAGCACTTTTTAATTATTTTGGATTAATTAACCGTCATAAATTGATAAATACGGGAATAGTTTTGTTTAAATAATCACCCAAATAATTTTTTGTCATAAATTGGTAAACACAAGAAGGAATTTTAAGTGAATAAACAAGAATAATAATAATAACAATTTATAATATTTTTACATTTTTAAACAAATAATACATATAAAATTAAATAAACATAAATTAATAATAATTTTTGCAAATTTTACAAATTTAACATCTTTGCGAAATAATTTAATAATTCATATAATAATAATAATAAAAAATATTAATAAATAATAAATAAATAATATTTATAACAATTTTACATTTTTGATTAAAAAAAAAATAAAAATAGATTAATAAACATTAGGGGAGAGTGGTCCTAAGTTGGCCGTGGGCCTAAGTTGGCCACCCTGCATTTCTCAGAGATGGTTTACTGGACGAATCTATAATTTTGTGGTATGGTATATTGATAAACCATGATATAATTTATGGACCTAATTATAATCTAAGATTCTTCTACGCATTGTGAGGACAATAATATTGTTTTCGACCAAAAAAATTTGATTTTTCTTGTTTTTTCGAGAGCAGCTACAAGAGATAAATAATTAAAAATTTCTAAATGAGTGTGTGCGCTAGTTCCTTTATTTAATGTTGTAATAAGAGGTTCTGTTGATTTTTTAATTAAATTTTTTTTATTAGCGTAATAATTTGAAACTTGTAAAAATCTACAGTGGTCCTAAGTTGGCCACCTATTGTTTTTGTTTGTTTTTATTTATGTTTTGCTTCTTTTTTGTGTTTTTCATCACGAGAAAGACCTTAAAAGTGTAACGTAAGAATTAAACAAAGACAAAAAACAAAAAAAATGGTTTAAAAAACATTAGAAAAGACATAGTACAAAAACGCCTGTCTCCACAGCCATCCACCACTGCAAATAAATGAAATAAAATAATGCTTCATTTTCTGATCAAAAATAGATAAATAATGCGTTTTTATTCTCCTAAATGTATCAAATTTGTAAAATTTCTGCGTAATTGAAAAGAATATGCATTTCTTCCTTATACACAAGCGAAAAAAAGTGGTGGCCAACTTAGGACCAGGGGGTGGCCAACTTAGGACCGCTATTTCTGAAATGTCAAAAATGCAGCTTTTTACTATTTATTGTATTAAGACTACAAAAGCCATTCTAAAACGTTCTAAATACCACAAAATTATAGCAAAACGATCTCTGAACACTAATATATACTTGCCGAAGTGATTAAATTTCATTTTGTTAATATTTTCGACCAATTTGCTTAGGCGGCCAACTTAGGACCACTCTCCCCTAATAATAATAAAATTCATAACATTTTTCAAATTTTCACATTTTTAACTTAAAAAATTAAACAGAATTAAATAACTTAAATAGTAATATAAAATTAAAAGAATAAAATAAAAAAATAATAATAAATTGATTAACATTAATAATAATAAAAATTTATAACATTTTTTCCAATTTTCACATTTTTAACTTAAAAAATTAAACAGAATTAAATAATTTAAATAGTAATTAAAAATTAAAAGAATAAAATAAAAAATAATAATAATAAATTAATAAACATTAATAATAATAAAAAATTATAATATTTTTTCCAATTTTCACATTTTTAACTTAAAAAATTAAACAGAATTAAATAATTTAAATAGTAATTAAAAATTAAAAGAATAAA